GGCATTTTTATTTAAAATTTTAATATAATATTTTAAATTTATCCTTTGAGAGCCTCATAGATGAATACAATGTATTGTAAGCATATTCTCCCCTCACTTCCCTTTCTAGCTCGTCCCAGACCCCCTACCCATGTTATACTCCAAACTTCATGCTCTCTTTTTCTTTCTTTTTAAATAACCCACTGAGTCCAAATAGTGCTGCCCACATGCACATAGGTGTGGGGCCATCCACTGGAGCATGGTCAACCTATCAGGGGCCAAACCCTTGAAGAAAAGAGACTCTCCCTCCCCCTACAGCCGTCAACTGCCAATAGTGCCTCAGCTAGGGGTGGAAGCTCATTTTAGCTTTTAATTTACTATTGATAGGCGTGTCCTGCCTAGTTTGCTCCTTCCACACATGTACTCAGAACTTGCTCTGACAGCTTCACTAGTTGTATCTTTGCTTAGACATCAACTTCTTCTGAGAAAAACAAAAACAAAAAACTAAAATTGAGGGAAAAAATCTAATATTCACTGAGAAAAACCCACAGCAGGTTGCCTGAGAAAATAGCCCCTAGTTTACCTAAAGATAATAGCCTTTCCACTTGTTTAAGAAAACAAGTATATGTTTTTTTAAAAATATTTTATATTTTATTATTTTTATTTTATGTATATGAGTGCATTGCTTGCCTATGTATAAGTGCACCCGTCTTCTGCAATGCCCATGAAAGTCAGAAGATGATGTTGGATTCCCCTGGAACTGGAGATATGAATGGTTGTTAGCCACCATGTGGGTGCTCAGAATCAAATCCAGTCCTCTGCAAGAGCAGACAGTGCTCTTAACTACTGAGCCGTCTCTCCAGCCTAGCAGCTGTATGTTTAACCTCAGTTTCTGCTTCTGTAAATATATTTCCTGTTTGAAATTCCTGCTCATAGCTCCCCTGACCTGTAGACTAGTGAACCCTGTGCCTGGTCTGGTCTGCAATCACATAGGCAGGAATTCAAGTCCATCAATGCCGGAGTGGGTCTAGAATGATGTTGAATTGCATATAAATACTCAGAAGCTGCTGCCTGGGCTCAGACTTTCAGAGGCAACTCCACTGAGCCTGCTTGTTTTTTGATTCTCCCAGCCTCAGTTTCCCATAACGTTCTTAGTTCCTTGAGGGAAACTATGCACTGTGCTCTTAAACAAACAAGGCTGGCCCCTTTGAGCCTTAGCTGCTATGGTACTCTGCTGCAGCCAGGGATGGTTTGTGGCGCAGTGGAAGGTGCGCCACCTTGTTGCCTGGGACCCTGACTCTGTAGGCCATGGGCCATGGCCTGTTTCTTCAGACTGCACTCCTTGTGTTTGACTTGAATGACTGGTCTGGTGGACAGTGAATGAGGACCCTGAGAATTCTTTCAAGATCATCTTTCATGCCCGCTGCCCTGCTTTGACCACACTGGAAGCTGGTCAATCTATACACAGCTGAAGTTTGAGGCCAACAGTTAACACCTGAGGACTCTACAGGCCTGCTCTAGTTGCAGACCTAGAGGACAACTGGTCAACCCATGGTGGAGGCCATTGGAATTTAATGGGGTGTACAATGATATTGTTAACCTTACTGTTTCCCATAGATCTGGCTGAGATAGCTCCAAAATGACTGGAGCCGGTCACAAATGATTGCTACTACAGACATTGAATGTCGTCTTCTTCATATGTGAGGCAAATGCCTATGTTTGTCTACCTGGTAAGTGGAAAGGTATATGTACCTTGGCTTTCCTTACTCCGAAAATAGACATTGCCTCCAACATCAAACTCTCACAATACCCTTAGCAATACATATGTGATCTAAAAGAGTCATCCAGTTCATAACTTGCATTAGTTACTTTTCTGTTGCTGTGATAAAAACACTGAGCAAAGCCAACATTGGGAGGAGAGGGTTTATTTTATCTTACATAACCCAGATCACAGTTTATTACTGAGAGAAGCCATGGCAGGAACTCAGGGCAGGAACCTGGAGCACAGACCATGGAGGAGCATTGCTTACTGGCTTGCTTCTCTGGACTGCTCAGTCTGCTTTTTTATAGAACATAAACCACCTGCCCAGGGATGGCACTTCCCAGAGTGGGCTGGGCCCTCCCACATCACTCAACAATCAAGAAAATGCCCTACAGACATGGCCACAGGCCAATCCAATGGAGGAAATTCCTCAAACGAGATTTCCTCTACCTAGATGTAACAAGTTGACAACTAAAGCTATCCAGCACACACCTCTACTAGGTCTAAGAATAATTACTGCATTAGTCATTTTTACAAACAATTATCCAGAAGTTTGATAGATGACATAGAACTAGTGGCCAAATCATTAGTAGCCCTACATGATCAATTAGATTCATTAGCAACTCTAGTCCTGCAAAACAGGAGGGGACTAGATCTGCTGACTGCTGCAAAGAGAGGAATCTGTCTCTTTTAAAACTAAGAATGCTTCTTTTATGTAAACCAGTCAGGAATAGTCAGGGATATGGCCCCAAACCAAAAAAGATCGAATTTCAAAAAGGAGCTAGAAACCAGCAGATGCCTGTAACTGGTAGAGCAGCGTTTGGAGCTGGGTATCCCGGCTCCTCGTGCCATCCCGCCCTTTCCTCATGCTCTTTCCGGCACTCCTGTTTGGCTCCCTATATCCTTAACTTATCTCGGTTTGTTTCCTCTTGCCCAGAATCTAAGTAGTTCCAGGTGCTCCTCCAGGACTATCAACAGCTAGACCTGAGAGATATAGAAGAAAGCGATGCCCCTTAGAAAAAAATAAATGGGCTTCAAAGAGGGGAAATGAGAAAGAAAACAAATTAATTGAAAAGAAACCCATATCAGGTTGCCCAAGAAGACAGCCCCTAGTTTACCTAAGGGTAACAGCCTTCTTACTTGCTTAAGAAAACAGTTGTACATTTAACCTTTGCTTCTGCTTCTGTAAATATGTTTCCTGTTTGTAATTCTAGCTCATGGCGACCCTGACCTGTAGACTAGGGACCCCTGTGCCTGGTCCACAGTCACGTAGGTAGGAATTCAAGCCCACTAACCCCAGCATGGGTCTGGAATGATGCTGAATTGTCCATAAATACTAAGAAACTGCTGTCTAGGTTCAGACTTTAGGAGGCAACTCCACTGAGTGTGTCAGTGACTAAACCTGTATCTTTGATCTTTCAGTCAGTCTGAGATGTCTGTTTGAAGCACAGCACATTCCAGGATTAAGTTTCCTACAGCACTTCCATAAGAAACTTTCAGACTCTCTTTTCCTCTCCTTCCTTCCTTCCTTCCTTCCTTCCTTCCTTCCTTCCTTCCTTCCT